CATGGCAGCACCATTTTCATGTGACTCTCACCTGCGGAGCTGACCGGAGCTTGGGCTCTCTTCTCGTGAGCTCTGGCCACGACATTCTGCCCGTTGGTCTTGATAGTGTGTGATTTTGCCTCCCTCTGCGATGTGCACTGTCACATGACCGCAAATCTGGAACCAAATCCCAGCATGAAAGACCCCTGTCTTTTGCACTTGGGTGTCACCTGTCCCGCCTGTCTTGTGCTGGGACAGGGCGTCACCTGTCCCTCCATGCCCACACAGAGCCAAGGCTTAGGAAGTGCCCTTGGAGTCCTGGGCGGGGACTCACTCTGTAGAAACAGCATTGCCTGTGCTCTCTTTGTGCCTCTGCCATGACTGGGTGACAAAGCCCGTTCTCCCCTGGGGTCTCTGCTCTTCCTCTGTCAGATGGGGCTGTGTCCACCTGAGTCCCCTCAGAGTGTTGGGGAAAGGGAAAAATAAGATAATAGATGCCAAACTAGTCAGATCCAGGTAGCCTAGTTAAAATGAAAACGTGATAATTTAAAAATTAAGACTTGGTCAGGCACGGTGGCTCTTGCCTGCAATGCCAGCACTTTGGGAGGCTGGGGCAGGTGGGTCACTTGAGGTCAGGAGTTCGAGACCAGCCTGGATAACATGGTAAAACTCCATCTCTATTAAAAATACAAAAATTAGCCAGCTTGGTGGCAGGCATCTGTAATCCCAGCTACGCGGGAGGCTGAGACAAGATAATTGCTTTAACCTGGGAGGTAGAGGTTGTAGTGAGCTGAGATTGCACCACTGTACTCCAGCCTGGGCAACAGAGCAAGACTCTGTCTTAAAAAAAGAAAAAAAATTAGGAATCCTGGAGATTCTACAATTCTAGGTCTGGAGGAGGACTTAGGACTCTGGCTTTAAACAAGGACTCAAGGTGACTCTGAGGGACATGTTGAGAATCCCTGGACCAGTTAAGGCATTGCCATTTTAAAGTGACATCACTCTGTCAGCCGCCCCCATGAGGTTGGGGTGATATTGATGCCCACTGTGTAAGATGGTTGCCAGGGTTCTCATAGCAGCAAATGCTTAGTGGTGCTTACTATGTTCCACACGCTGCTCTGTTTTACAGATGGAGAAACCGAGGCACAAAGGGGTTAGATGACACAGCTAGTAAGTGGCAGAGCTGGCTCCATACTGAGGCAGTCTGGCTCCAGAGTCTCACCTCTTAACCTCTAGACCAGTGGCTCTCAAAGTGTGTTTCTATAGGGCCCCTGGAGGTTTCCAAAGACCCTTTCAGGCCATCCATGAGGTTAGAGTGGTTTTCATAATAATCCTGAGACAACATTTTCTTTTTCACTCTCTTTTCTTGCATAAGTATACAGGGTAGTTTTCAGAAGCTGCATGACCTGTGATCGCGTTGTCATTCTGGTGGCTAATGGAAGGTGTTGCTTGTGTGTTCTTGTATTTTAAAAATTTCTCGGTTGGGTGTGGTGGCTCACACCTGTTATCCCAGCACTTTGGGAGGCTGAGGCGGGAGGATTACTTGAGTACAGGAGTTTGAGACCAGCCTGGATCAAATAGTGAGACCCCATCTCTCCAAAAAAATTAAAAAAAATTAGCTGGGTATGATGACACATGCCTGTAGTCCCGGTTACTCAGGAGGCTGAGGTGGGAGGATTGCTTGAGTCTGTGAGGTTGAGGCTGAAGTGAGCTGAGATCGTGCCATTGCACTCCAGCTTGAGCAGTAGAGTGAGACCCTGTTTCAAAAAAACTTTTCTTCCACTTTTAATTTCTAACATGGTAAATACTGATAGCTATAATCCACATAAACAGCACTCTTTGGAGTCCTCAGAAACATTGTGAGTGAACAGAGGTCCCGAGACCAAAAAGTTTGGGATGTGTTGTTCGAGACTGTGATGCCTTAAATATGATATTCGTTAAACATCTGGTGACATTCCCATGGTAAACAGCTAACAGGGGAGTTGGTTCCTGTCCCAGGGAATCTCGGCTCTTCTCGGGGCTTCCCCGCGCGTGGAGACCTCCGTGTAGGAGACTGAGTCCTGAACCTGCTGGGTGCTTTCCCAGATGGCGATGCTGACTGTGCTGCTTGTGTGTGGTCAGCCAGCTGCCTGAGACGGAGCTTCCGTCCTCCACCCGGCTGCACCTGCGGCACCCAGACGTGACTGCAGGAACGAGCAGGTGTTCTGTGGTGGGTGTCCCCTAGGGTGGAGCCAGTCTGGGTGCAGGTGCTGTGGCTGGGTGAGTTCTTGGCTGGTTCATGCTGGGGCCTTCATGTGAAGTCATTGCTGTGGTACTGGAATCTGTTGGCACCGAGCCAGCACCTTGCCTGTGCCATCCCATTGAACCTTGCACCCACCCTGTGAGGGAGGTGCTGGTGTGAGACTCATTTTACAGGTGAGGAGCTCAAGGCTCAGGGAGGTTCTGCCTGTGCCTGTGGCAGGGCCTGGTCTCGATCTGTGTCTGGCTGGCTGAAGCCTGGGCCCCTGATGTGTTTCGGTACCTTCACAGTGTCGCTCCTGCTGTGGCCAGCTCTTTGGAGTTTGGGTTTGGGGTGTGTTGTCAGGGTTCCTCCCAGAGTTCTGCTCCAGCCCAGGCCGTCTGCACGCTGCTCTTCCCCTGCTCCAGCTTTTTCTTCTTTTCTTCTTTTTTTTGAGATAGAGTCTCGCTCGGTTGCCCAGGCTGGAGTGGAGTGGCATGATCTCCGCCCACTGTAACCTCCGCCTCTCAGGTTCAAGTGACTCTGGTGTTTCAGCCTCCTGAGTAGCTGGGATTATAGGTGTGTGCTACCACGCCTGGCTAATTTTGTATTTTTAGTAGGTTTGGGGTTTCACCATGTTGGCCAGGCTGGTCTTGAACTCCTGACCTCAGGTGATCTGCCTGTCTTGGCCTCCCCCAAAGTGCTGAGATTACAGGCATGAGCCACCGCGCCTGGCCCAGCTTTTCTTATTTTTCTTATTTTTCTTATTTTACAATTTTTACAATCTGATGCTATATTGCCTAGGCTGGTCTTGAACTCCTGGCCACAAATGAGCCTTCTACCTTGGTCTTCCAAAGTGTTGGGATTATAGGTGTGAGCCAGTGTGTCTAACCTGGCTCTGGGGCTTTAGACCAACAGGTTTTTGGAGCAGTAAGGTGAGGTGTGGACAGAATGCAGGTTTGAGTTTTGGCTCTGCCATTTGCTGGCTGTGACTTCTACCTTTCAGATGCCCTGTTTGCATATGACGTGGTTGCTGCTACCTCTCCTTGTGAGGGGAGGGGAGACAGCCCGGGGAAACTGACGCGGCACATGCTCAGAAACCAGGGGTCTCCACCGTGATGCAGCTGGCCCTGGACCACCTGTGTCAGTCTCTCCAGGAGGGATTCCAGATTTCTCGGCCTTGCCCTGACCTACTGATGCAGACCTGTGTGGGAAGGGCTGGCCACCTGTGTCATCAGTGAGCGTTCCTGGAATTCAGGCACACACTGAAGTTTGGCAATCCCTGCTTAGAGGTTGGGGGCTACTTTTAACCCTCAGGAGATAAATATAGGTCACACCCCTATATGCATAGCTCCTTATCAGTGGCCATATGATTTGATGTTTGAACCAGGGCACACTTGAGCGTGGGGGGTTCCCCTCAGGAGTACACTGGGACTTCGGGGCACCTGGGAACATGTGCTTATTGTTTCTCAGTTCTCCTTTTGTCTTTCTGATGGCCCTAGAGATGCTGTTTCCTTCCTACTGCAAAGGGGAAAACTGAGACCTGGAGAAGGATGCTTCGGACCACACAGCTGTAACCTTGGTCCTTGATTGTAGAATGCCTTCTCAGCTGGGTCGTCAGCCTTGGCTCACCCTAGCTGAGTGCTGGTGCAGGTGCGCTGTGAAGGACCCTAGATTGTTGTGGTGTTGGAATCTTTTGAAAACTAAACCTTTGTAATGAGAAAAACCAACATTAAAGCTATGGGGCCGGACACGATGGCGCATACTTGTAATCCCACCACTTTGGGAGGCCAAGGTGGGAGAATTGCTTGAGCCCAGGAGTTTGAGACCAGCCTGGGCAAAATAGTGAGACCCTGTCTCTACAAAAAATTTAAAAATTAGCTGGGGGTGGTGATGTATACCTATAGTGCCAGCTACTCGGGAGGCTGAGATGGGAGGATCATTTGAGCCCAGGAGATCAAGGCTTCAGTGAGCCCTGTTTGCGCCATTGCTCTCCAGCCTGGGCAACAGAGTGAGTCTGTGTCTCAAAAAAAAAAAAAAAAAAAAAAAAAAGCTATGGAATTCACCTCTGGAAAAGATACAAGCCAGATGAAAATGGAGGACCCTGCCAGCAGAAGGGAAGCAGGTGCCGGGTGTGTTTGTGCCTCCTCCCTTCAGTCCCGGGGCTCCCCGCTGGGCCTGGCTGTGACCCATCCACCACAGACAATCGATGGCCCTCTGGGCAGAGTGACAGGGAGAGGGCCGCTGACACCAGCTCTCCATCAAAGCAGATGTCCTCTTTGGGTCGGTCAATTTCTTTTCCTCCTGATTGCCTGCAAGGCCAACTGGGTGATTTTTTTTCCCTGCTCCTATGAGGATACGCATGACAATTCATTTTGGTGACACATGGAGAGGTCCGCCGTTGTGGGGAATTCTTGGGGGAAACCTGAGGTTTCTGGAACACTAAATATAACAAGTGGTGACAGAGTTGAACTGGTGATGTCAAAGCCAGCAAAGCCCCCCCTGTGTGGAGCTTGGCGTATTTCTGGTTCAGACAGAAATAGACACCTACCAGAGGCCACGATGGCATCAGTGCTTGCGGGCAGCCTTGGGCCAAACTTAGTCTCTGTCCCTGCTGCCTGGCCCTCTCCTCCCGCCTTTTCCTCTCTGCTCCATGGGGAGCTCCATCTAGCACCCGAGGGAAGGTGGGGCAGCGAGCTGCAGGAATGTGCTCTCAGAGATCTCCGTCCTTCCTCGAGCCTCCCCAGGGAGTGGGGTTATCTTGGGCTGCCCGTTCCTCACTTTAATGTCACTCTGTTTGCAGGCGAGGATGGAGACACTGAAGGATAAGACTCTGCAGGAGCTGGAGGAGTTGCAGAATGACTCGGAGGCGATTGACCGGCTGGCCCTGGAGTCCCCTGAGGTAGAGGGAGGCCGGGATGGGGCCCAACAGAGGCCAGCAGATGAGGCTTGTTAAGAGGTGCTTTTAAGGGTGCCGGCTTCTTGGGAGTTTTAGCCAAATTCATCTCCCTTTTCTGTGAACTTCATCCTGCTTTGGACTCAGAGGAATCCCTAAGGCTTCAGACCAGTTCCTGGGAGTTCTTGGCAGTGCTGGGCAGGGCAGGGTCTCCTGGGGCCTTCTAGGGACCCAGATACCCCAGGAGTCCCCACACTGTCGTTCCAGCCCAGATCCGGAGGCAGCTCCTCAAAGCACTGGTATGGTTTTGTACCCACTTTCCCCAAGAGCCCTGTGTGATGCCGTCTCTCCAGGTGACTCTAAGACTTCTGGGAGCAGTGCTTGGGCTGAGTTGTAGCTTATCTCCCATTTGATCCTGTTTTTCCTCATGACAGGACCCTCCTCATCTCGCTCTTCATCACAGAGTATTTGTGGAAATAAACAGAACCCTTCTGCCTGTGCAGAGATTTACACTGACTAAAGGACGTTCCCTGCCCCTAGCATCTCCTGTGACCCTGGGATGTCCCCTGTGAGATGGGAGAGGTCAGGCCACTCAGCCAGAAATGCCCACGATCACCCCTTGAGTGGCTGCAGCTCATCCGCTGATCTGGAAGTTCCTGCTTCCTGTCCCTAATGTGAGGGACAGACACAAACGCAAGTAATGCCAGCTCCTTTGGTTTGCATTTGGAGTACACTTTTACTTGCTTGGATGAGCAGGTATGGTGCGTCTCTTCTGTGAACTTGCGGTATTTTGAAAAAAATAATGACGCTTCCCCATCCAGTGTCTCCGTGCTTCCATGCGTAGGGGTGCCAGGCGTGAGTCCCCTGCTCCTGTTCTGGCGTGCGCTCTTGCCACCCACAGCCTGCGCTACTGCCCAAGTGAGGAATCTCACTGGGGTTGTTGGTGACTGAACATGGAGTTGAAAAGACCTCCTGGTGGGCAGAGTGTGAGGAGAGGTGGGCACCGTGGGCACATCCTCTCACCCTGAGGCTTTTTTTCAGTCCTCAGCAAGGACATGGAGCAGAGCCTACTTGTCTAAGCCCCGGGGCCACTCACATGGTCAGTGAGGCTGTGAGCTCTGGCAGGGCGTGGCTCCTGGCTGGCCTGGTGCTGGGCACAGTGCGGCTCTGCCTGCCGTCCTCTGTCATATTAAGCACCGAGAGCATGGTGCCATGGGAATCCCAAAGCCTGCTGCTAGAGTGTGCAGGGCTGAGCAGGCTGACAGAGTCGTGGCAAAGCAGAGAATCACGGAGAATGAGCAGCGGCAACATCTTGGGCAGAAGGCACTTGAATTTTGTGGTGTGCAGTCACACCTGTCCCATTCATCTGAACTCTCTGCCGGACAGAACACCGGTGGATCCGGTGGAAATGAAGCAGGACGAGCCACTTGGGGCTTTTCTGTTGTGGGTTCTGAGACGGTAACTGAGTCACTGTGGGATTGTGAGGAGACAGGAACTCTGTCTTAGTCTGGGACATGGACATGGCTTGGAGAGAAGAGAGTTGGCAGGGGCTGTTTCCACGTAGAAGGCCGTGCATGGAGTGGGGTGAGCGGGGAGCTGCTTTGTGTTGGGGGCCAGACAGAGAAAAACAACATTGCAACTTAGTAAGGAAAGTAAGAATGGTTTTATCTCCCACATTGCAACTTTTAAAAATTTTTATTTTTTAGGTGGGTCTTACTTTGTTGCCCAGGCTGGAGTGCAATGGTGCCATCATGGCTCACTGCAGCCTCGACCGCCTGATCTCAGGCAGTCCTCCCGTTTCAACCTCCCGATTAGCTGGGACTACAGGTGCACACCACCACACCTGGCTAATTTTTAAATTTCACATTGTAATTTTAAGAACTATTAGATACTTCTTGCTGAGGTTTGCTGTAAATTCAAAGAAAATTCATAATTGTCTGTAAAGTTTAGTAGTAACTCCTTCCTTTTCTAGCTATCAGACTCCTGACCGAGGGTGATCCACCCACCTCAGCCTCCCAAAGTGCTAGGATTATAGGCATGAGCCACTACACCCGGCCTGATCATGACACATTTCTATGCATGCAACAAAGACTCACATCTACCCTATAAATATCTGTATGAGTATAAATATCTGTATGAGTATAGATTCTCTCTGCTTATTTCCACCAAAGTAATATACCAAAGCAAAACATGTGGAAACAGCTTTTATTTACCCATTTTTAGTCTTACCTCTTTTCAGTGACTGGGAGGACTTCACACTGAACCCCTAATGTGCATCAGTGTGCAATTTTTAAAACTGATGCACATTTTGCATATTTATGAGGTAGATGGGAGTCTGTTGCAATGCATAGAATGTGTAATGATCAGGCCAGGTGTGGTGGCTCACGCCTGTAATCCCAGCACTTCAAGAGGCCAAGGTGGGAGGATCACCTGCGGTCAGGAGTTTGAGAGCAGCCCGGCCAACATGGTGAAACCCCGTCTATACTAAAAATATACAAATTAGCTGGGCGTAGTGGCATGTGCCTGTAGTCCCAGCTACAAGGGAGGCTGAGGCAGGAGAATCGCTTGAATCCAGGAGGTGGTGGTTGCAGTGAGCCAAGATCATGCCGTTGTACTCCAGCCTGCGAGACAGGGCAAAACTCAGCCTCAAAAAAAGAAAAGAATATGTAATTATAAGGTCAGGGCATTTGGGGTCTCCATCACCTTGAGTATTTATCATTTCTGTGTGTTGGGAACATTTCACACTTCTTGCTACTTTGAAATACGCAATACATTATTGCCGGCCATAGTCATGCCACTCTGCTGTTGAACATTAGAACTTATTTCTTCTATCTAAGTGTATGTTTCTACCCATTGACCCACTTCACGGAGAAAGATTGGGAAGGCTGTGGGAACGGGGCGCAGAAATGAGTAGGGCAAGATTTAGGGGAAAATGATGCCGCATAGATGTGTTGGTTTAGACGCAGGGAAAGGCAGTGGGCGTATAGGAAGGCCCTGCAGGGGATGGGTGAGCAGGAGCGCCGTAGGCCTTTCACCCTGGGTCAGCCGTGTAAGTAAAGTCCATGGCGAATCCAAGCTAGATTGAGAGTCACGTATGGTGGTTTGTGTCTGTAATCCCAGCTATTGGGAGGATGAGATGGGAGGACTGCTTGAGGCCAGCCTGGGCAACATAGGGAAACCCCATCTCTACAGAAAATAAAAGAACTTAGCCAGGCATGGTGGTGTGTCCCTGTAGTCCCAGCTACGGGAAAGGCTGAGGCAGGAGGATTGCTTGAGCTCAGGAGTTTGAGGCTGCACTGACCTGTGATCGTGCCACTGCACTCCAGACTGGACAACAGAATTGAGACCATGTCTCTAGAAGGCAGCTGCATGGGCTGTAGGCTGGATAGACCCCTGGGCCCTACGGTCCCTGAACCCTGGCAGCCTCGTCTGGAGGGCTCAGGGAGGGCAGGGAGCTGTGGCAGCCTTCTTTCCAATCTGGGGCACATAGAAGAGGTTATGGGCCTGCCCCAGAGTGCAGGGCCAGGGCCAGGGCCCCTGTAGCTGGGACAGCAGGAGGGGCAGGCTTTCCCTGAAGCCTCCTCTTCCAGAATGCCCACGGGTTCCTGTGTCTGGTGGGGCATGACCCAGTCTGGCTTGGTCCGTCACATGCAACCACGGCGGAGAAGCTGCACCGTGTAGGGCCTGACTCAGAGTCAGTCTTGCCGAGCTGTTCCCTACACCCTGTGGTGGCTACTGAGGCCTCTCTTCTGGTGCCCCGTCGTGCTGTCAGTGTACCGTCACCACTGTCTCAGCGTGTGGATCTGACTCCTCGGCCCTCCCCCTTGGCAGTTGCCTGGGGCATCAGGTCACGGACAGCTGGGAAGGGTGCCTTGGCTTCTGCCGCACTGGCTGGCAGTGACGAAGAGCCTGGCAGAGGGGAAAAGTGCCGCTTGGCCTGGGGAAGTGTCTTCAGCAGGGAATGTCCAGTGTGGCCCCTCTGGCTCGTCTGTGCAGCTTCTCTGCAGGACACATGTGCTGCATAGGAGGCAGGTCCAGGTCCCTCCTGAGTCAGCAGTGTGGTCTGGTCTGGGACCTGGGCTCTCACCCCTCAGAGTAACTTGATTTTGGACCTCATTGCATGTCTTGCCTGTGCATCTGGCCAGGGCCACTGGAGGCCACCGTGGTAGATCTCTGGACTCTGAAGCTTGGGGATAAGAAGTTGGGACTTTTTGTTCCTTTCCTCCTAGAAAGCCTCTGATTTTCTCATGTAAATTGGTCCCCGCCTCCTTGGGGCTCTGCACACTCCATCTTAAGTGTCAGTCATGTTGCCTTTTCACCCTCAGCTCCAGGTTCCCATGCGTCTCCACCTCGTGGGCGGTGGGTTAAGGGTTAAGCGAGGCGCAGAGCACTTTGCTCAGGGTTTGAACTCGGCTTTATCTGACTATTTGAGAGCTGAGTATCGCCCTAAGATGAGCCTCCCCGCCCCAAGGTGAGCCAGCCATGTGCCCCGAAGCCCCTGACCTGTGCTGCCGGAAGGTTGATGGTGATGGACATTTTCCTTACGGTCTGCTGTCCTGCCCTTTTAGGTCCAGGACCTGCAGCTGGAACGGGAGATGGCACTGGCCACCAACCGGAGCCTGGCCGAGCGGAACCTGGAGTTCCAGGGACCCCTGGAGATCAGCCGTTCAAACCTCTCTGATAAATACCAGGAGCTCCGGAAGCTTGTGGAGCGGTGCCAGGAGCAGAAGGCAAAGTTGGGTAGGGTGGCCCCTCTGTGAACTCAGGGTCCCCATTCAGGATTGGATGGGGCCGAGCAGCTGAAACACCGTGAAGGATAGATTCTCTGTCCCATCCCAGGGATGGGCAAGGCGCGTAGCTACCGAGGCCCACCATGTTCCCAGCCCTGTGCTAAGCGCCTTATGTACATTTTTTCACAACAGCCTTGGAAGGGTGGGTACTGTTACTCCATGTGATAGGTAAGGAAAATAAGAGATTAAAGAACTTGGCTGAGGTCAGCCAGCTTAGAAGTAGGTGGAGTTGGGATTTGAATCCAGACAGCTGCCTCCTTTGCCGCTGCTGTTACCCTGGCAGCGTAGCCTCTGCACTTTGCTGAGCTGCTCTGGGCTCTCTGTGTCCCAGAACCTGTGTCTATGTCCCAGTGTGAAGGTGGGAGGGCGGTCCTTGTCTTGATGGTGAGAGAGCTTGACCCTCAGGTTAGGTAACTCCGCTGGCTGGCAGGCAGAGCTGGGTCAGTTGGGCTCTGAAGTCCGAGTCCTTTCTTTTCCCAGGACGGTGTAGGGGAGGCTGCTTGGCCAAGGTCTAGGCTGGGTCCAGTTGGGCCCTTCTCTGCTCAGGAAGGTGGTCTAAGGAACTGGACCAAAAGCACCCATCAGGCCCCCTCGAAAGGACCCTTTGGTGGACCCCTGGGTGGTGGCTGGGCCTGGACGGACATAGAATGCCTTTGACACTGAATCAGGAAGCACTTTTCAAATGTCAGCCATTCTGCCCTCCCTTCCAGAGAAATTTTCTTCAGCACTGCAGCCAGGGACTTTGTTAGACCTTCTGCAGGTGGAAGGCATGAAGATTGAAGAAGAGTCCGAGGTGAGAGGCGAGGTGACACCCCTCTTCCCTGGACAGGGCGTCGGTCCCTGCAGCAGGAGCCCTTGGAAGAGGAGCAGATGTCTGTCTGCAAAGCATGGGACAAGGGAGCTTTCATAGATTGCAGAGGGGAAGGACATCTTTAGTCCCCGGGTGGCCTTTTGGGATACAAATAACAGGAACCCAGTCCTACCAGCTGAAGCAGAAATGGGTGACAGTGGACAAGGACGGCTGGCAGTCCTGGGTGGGAGGGCAGCTCAGCAGGCGTCCCCCGAGGACCGAGGCCAGTCCCCCACTCCATTCTCCCTGCTTTCTGCTCCCCTCCAGGCACCTCTTCAGCCCCTGTGGGCAGCTGGCGCTGCCCACTCCTCCGTGTCTGGGAGGAAGAAGCTTCCAGGCCCTCCTGGCCCCTGGGCTAGTGCTCATCCAGGTGTTTAGCACATATGTACAGTGGCCACGGTGGGCCTGGCATGATGCCAGGGTGCCAGGACAGAGGTGCCCACGACAGGGACAGGTCTCGCCCTCAAGGGAGTGGCATTCCAGTGAGGGAGACAGTGCGTGTACTGTATGCCAGCTGTGAGAAGGGGCACATGGCCAGCGAAGGGTAGTGGGCACCTGAGGAGGTACAAGGTGGGAGGGCTGCAGCCAAACTTGGACCCCAGGGAAAAACAAGAGGCCTTGATCCTAGCTGGCTCCTGTTGTCACTGGACTTTATGTCTTCCAGGCCATGGCTGAGAAGTTCCTGGAGGGCGAGGTGCCCCTGGAAATGTTCCTGGAGAATTTTTCCTCCATGAGGATGTTGTCCCACCTGCGCCGGGTTCGTGTGGAAAAGCTCCAGGAAGTGGTGAGGAAGCCCAGGGCTTCCCAGGAGCTGGCCGGCGATGCCCCTCCACCCCGCCCGCCGCCACCACCGCCGCGCCCAGTACCCCAGGCAACACCCCCTGTGGTTGAAGAGCAGCCGCAGCCGCCACCATCGGCCATGCCTCCCTACCCTCTGCCCTACAGCCCGTCCCCTAGCCTGCCTGTGGGCCCCACTGCCCATGGAGCCCTGCCACCCGCCCCTTTCCCGGTGGTGTCCCAGCCCTCCTTCTACAGCGGGCCTCTGGGCCCCACTTACCCGGCAGCCCAGCCTGGACCCAGGGCTGCTGCGGGTTACTCCTGGTCCCCACAGAGGAGCACACCGCCCCGGCTGGGCTATCCTGGGACCCCGACTGGTGCCTCTGGGCCAGGGTACCCCGTGGCGGGAGGCAGGGTCCCCAGTCCTGGTTATCCTCAACAGTCCCCATACCCTGAAGCAGGAGGAAAACCTCCCTACCCAATACAGCCCCAGCTCCCTGGCTTCCCAGGCCAGCCCCAGCCCTCCATGCCCCCGCAGCCCCCTTATCCCCCCGGGCCTGCCCCTCCCTATGGGTTTCCACAGCCCCAGGGGCCTGCCTGGCCTGGGTATTAGACACACTCCTGGCCCTCGGCCCCTCCCTAGTCCCACCCACGCTCAACCTTTGGCCCAGCCATTGCCGAGATTCGAGGGTCCACTGGACGTGGCGTTGGTGCTCCCTTTGGACTTGCGTCGGTACACAGAGGCCTTGGAGGGACCAGGCCCTGGGCTGTGTGACTGGTCACAGCACTTGCTGGCTTTTTGGCTGGAGGTCCTCCTGGGAGCCCCTCCTTTCAGTGCCTGGCTGCAGGTGCTAGCCAGGTGGGAGCACAGCACCTCTCAGGTGTCTGTGAGTGAGTGCGTGCACATAGTTATGAGCATCTGCTTGTGGCCGCACTCAGGGCCATCTGAACCCAGTGCCAGAGGTATCTCGAGGAGGAGGCCCTGGGTCTCCAGTCCCCTCTGTCTCTCCTGGGGTTTGGCGTATTGGTTGTGGAGCCTCATGCTGAGGGGTGCAGCTGTTGGCATCTGTCCAGTCCATTGAAGGCTGGCCTTCCCACGCGCTGCAGCCAGGATTGGATTGGAGGGAGAGAACAGAGCTGGGAAAAACAACAGGTTTGAGTCCTATAAAGCCATAATTTCACTCTGGTAGCTGATGTCAGACAAGCTTGTCCTGTGTCCTGTTTCATTGGGGCAGCACCAGTGCAGCATGAGGGCTGGGGGTTGTGAAGGTTGCCCCCGGACCTGGCTTGCCCTGGTTGGAGAAGCTAGGGCGCTGCCTTGGGCCCTCTGGCCGGAGGGAAGGGGGCAGCTCTAGGCCTGGAGATTGTGGTCACATGGGGGCTTGTTTAGGAGTGGAGGGCCAGGTCACCTCCCCAGCCACCCTTCTCTCCTCTGGGGCCCTCCACTTCAGGGTGACTTTGCCCGAGGCCCACACATCCATCCTCTCCTTTAGTGCCTTGATTCTCATTCACAAGCAGCCCTTCCCTTCACCTCCTCTCCCCTCGCTCCTTTGATGGAATCGTCCCACCCCCAGTGTCCATCCTAAGACAGACGTCAAAAGAGGCCCTAACCTAACTTCCCAAATGGTGCTTTTAAAAAACACCATCACTACATTAGGGGCAGTTGCTTTGCACCTCCCTGTCTTCAGAATGTAAAGGGTGGGGATTATGACTCTGTTTAATACACAGCCCTCTGCCCTGTGTGGTTTTGGGCAGGTTCAGTAATAAGAATGAAGACAGTAGACAAAGGGGGTGTGCTGAGTGTTAACTTCGTTGTTCCAGAGGTAAACCAGGTCTCAGGGAAGGGCCTGGAGCTGCTATTGCTTAGGACGTTGTACGTGCCTTGAAATGTCCACTACCTGAGAACCCAGCATCTGGTGGGCCTGGGGCTGCTGGGGCCGAGGAGGGCTCTTGACCTTCTGGTGCTTGCCCCTCCCCGGCCTGCCTTGTGCCATCTGCGTGACGCTATGTCAGCGCTGCCGGTTCCTTACCAAATGTGCTTGCTTCTCCTAAGTTATTTATAAAGAGAAATCACTAATGGACTCTACTGGTTTGAGTGCTTCTGAGCTGGACGACGGATCGCCTGTATGTTTGTGTAATTAATTGCCATAATAAACTTCAATGAGTCACATGTGATGTGGTGCAGGTGGGTTTGAGAGTGAAGATGTGGCTGCATGTGGGAGCCTTGATTTCTTCTGCAGCCTTCAGATCATGCTCTCTTGGTGGGAGGGGGAGGGGGACTCTGTGATTCAGATCCTAAAGCCCCGTCCATCTGGACGTCAGCCCTTCCCTGCCCCTTCGCCCCAGGGCTGGCCCTTAGAGCATTTATCTTCCCTCTCTTGCTCTTCCGCCGTCCTTCTTAGCTGTTTTCCTGTTGGAGCCTGTGTTTGCCTTGTCCTGGGCTGAGAATGGTGGCATGCGAGGCCACAGGATGCCACGAGGGGGCGTCTGGTAATCAGCGCACTTGGGAGGCGCTGTGTTCCTGCCACCTGCTGGGCTGGCGGGACGTCCGCCTGTCGGCCTGTGACCCATCTAATTCTCACTTGGCCTTGCAGGATGTGCTCAGAGGCAGCGGGTCACTAAAATGGCTGTGGCCCCAACGGTCTTCTATGCCGTGGCCCAGCCTGCTTCCCTCCCCAGCGGTACCCTGAGCTCTGCTGCTGAGCTGCCTGTCCCGAGGCTGGGGAGGGCATCTTCAGCTCAGCAGGAAGGGCAGCTTTGAGGGAGTCTGGAGACCTTGCTTCTAACAGTCCCTCGACTCAGCCCTCTGCCTTTCCTTACCTGCAAGGTGACGGGAGGATGCCTACAGATGCCGAGAATCATTAGCGTTAAATATTCAGCAGGGCCGCGGGCTGTGCTGTGCTTTCAGTTACATTATCTTCTGGAGTCCTCCCAACAGCCCTTTCATACTCAGTTTCAATGGGAGGAAACCACAGGGCGATACTTCAGTGACCAGGCTGCAAGCCTTGGAGGATGTGGGACTTGGACCAGGCCGTTGGATTTCCTCCTTGCCTTTTTGGTGCCAGAAGTGCCTCCGGAGGACACAGCTGAGAGTCGCCGGGCTCCCGTCAGGTGTTTACTGCCCTTTACCTCCAGCTGAACTTTGGCCTTGCCTTGCAAGTGTCCAAGGCTGAGGACACAGGACATCAGGGACAGCTGGAAGCAACTTGGCTTTGTAGGAAGAAGCTGCAAATCTCCCTCTAGTCACATAGTCAAGTCACTTGCCTTGGGTTGGTGCCAGAGTGGCGGCAGGGGACACAGAGGGGCTGACTTCCTAAGAAAGGACCGCGGAGCTGCCTCAGCTGGTCAGCCCGCGTGTCCACCCTGCGCTCTTTGCTCCCCCTCTCCCTGGCCACTGACCTCAGTGCAGCACACCCAGGCACTCCTCACGCCTCCCTCCCTGCCTCCCGGGAGCTCACCGGCTGCCTTTCACCAGACCACAGCGGACCTCCTGCAGGGGGCAGACCCTAGGCGGCAAGCCTAGAGTCTCAAAGAGTCCTAACTTAGGACACTTTGCGGTGCTGGCTATGGTGAGGCCGTGTGAATGCTGTGTCCCTACAGCTCCGTTCCACTCCGTACTCCCACATCTCTGCATGCATGACAGCTTTTTTTTTTTTTTGGAAACAGAGTCTTACTCATCTGTCGCCCAGGCTGGAGTGCAGTGACGCCATCTCAGCCCACTGCAACCTCCACCTCCCAGGTTCAGGCGTTTCTCCTGCCTCAGCCTCTTGAGTAGCTGCGATTATAGGTGTGTGCCACCATGCCTGGCTAATTTTTTGTATATTTAGTAGAGACGGGTTTTGCCATGTTGGCCAGGCTAGCGTTGAACTCCTGACCTCAAGTGATCTGCCCACTTGGCCTCCCAAAGTACTGGGATTACAGGTATGAGCCACTGTGCCCAGCCTTTTTTTTTTTTTTTTTTTTTTTTTTTTTTTTTTAAGAGAGGAGTTCTCACTGTTGCCCAGGCTGGAGTGCAATGGCGAGATCATGGCTCACTGCAGCCTCAAACTCCTGGCCTCAAGTGATCCTCTTGCAGCAGCCTTCAGAATAACAGATTACAGGCATGTGGCCCCATGCTCAGCTAATTAAAAACTTTTTTTATGGTAAAGATGGGGTCTCACTTTGTTGCCCAGGCTGGCCTGGTCTGGCTTCAAGCAATCCTTCCACCTTGGCCTCCCAGAGTGCTGGGGTTACAGCTGTAAGCCACCATGCCCAGCTATATGACAGTGTGAAAGCCACACTTGTTGCTTGGTCCTCGTTTCCTTGACCTAATGTGCTAGAATCGGGGGTTGCACACTCAAACACTCATCGGCCAGGTCACATGATTTACCTGGGACTGTAATTTAGGGAATGGGCAGGGTTGGAGGGACACACAGGTGGGTGGAAGCGGTGGCCCGGCTCTAGCAGGCTGTTGGGCTGCAGGAATGGGGAGGTTGTCGAGGTCACGGCAGCGCGTCCTCTGCAGCTGAAGGAGACGGATGCCAGCCCCCTGAGCACTAGCAGGGGGAGCAGTGGGTTCTTCCCCAGCCAAGGCAGCAACTCTTCAGCGGCACCTTGAAGACTAAAATGGTTCTATTCCATTGCATCATCACCTAAGCCTGCCACCCCTTGAAAAACAGTTTTCTAAAGACTCATTTCTCCCCAACTAAACACTCTATTTTTGGTTTGGGTTTTAAGTAGGCCATGGTTGCTTTGAGGCCACTGTATGATGGCCAAACTATAGATTAAAGAGGTTTTTTTTTGAGACGGAGTCTCACTGTGCTGCGCAGGCTGGAGTGCAGTGGCGTAATCTCGGCTCACTGCAACCTCTGCTGCCTGGGTTCAAGCGATTCTCCTGCTTCAGCCTCCCGAGTAGCTGGGATTACAGGCACCTGCCACTGCACCAGGCTAATTTTTGTATTTTTAGTAGAGATGAGGTTTCACCATCTTGGTCAGGGTGGTCTTGAACTCCTGACCTCGTGATCCGCCTGCCTCAGCATCCCAAAGTGCTGGGATTACAGGTGTGAGCCACTGCGCCCGGCCTAGATTAAAGAGCTTTTATAAAAAAAGGAACTGATGGGAGACATTGGCTGCCCGGATCCTTTGCCCCTCCCTAAGAGCAGCCTCTCAGTTCCCTTGTGAGGAGTCCCCTCACCTCCACCAGATATGGGCAGATAAATGTGGTCCCTGTTTCTGGATTCCCAGCATGGTCAAGGGAAGATCTGTGACCTGGGCTTGGCCACGGGGGCTCTCAGAAGGCAAGGCCTGGTTGGAGGGTGTTGGTGGGGACAGAGGGATGAGCAGATTATGGGAACACCCCACCCCACATCCGAGTAACTCCCTTTTGCTCTTCCAGACTTAGCCTCTGTGGCTTGGACCATTGATGGCTGTGCTCCCAGGAGATATAGCATCAAATGGCGTGGAGAAAGGCCCCGGCCCCAAGGTGTGTTTCCACGTTGCTTCACCACCTTAGGGAGCTGCCGCAGGGAGCTCCGCCTGGCCTCCCCCTTTATCAGACCTGAGGTCCCTTGGTAGACCTCCTCCTCTCGCTTGTAGTTAAGGAAGCCGAGGCCCCACAGGATTAGGTGTACGGCCAAGATCTCTGAGTGCTGGAGGAGCCTATTTTAGTCAAGGGAGTTATTTAAACCAAAGGAATGTGACCAGCCCCAGCTCTGACTCTTGGGTTAGATGAACTGTGATGTGCTGAAACCACCTCAGCTTGGGACTTTTCGCTGCTGTGTGAAGCCAAAGAGCAAGTTGGTTAGGGTTTACCAGGCGCCCCTTTGTGCAGGGCCCTGGGTGGCACTGGTGTCCGGTGGGCTTGACTGCCAGTGGTCCCTGCTCTCTGGAGAGGATAGTGTCTTTAGATGAGGGGGTTGGGGAGGGGAGTCACAAGATGGAGGGAATGGGGTGAGGCTGTGGGTCAGGCCTCACAAAAGCAGAGCCTTGGTGCCCAGCCAGCCCCCTGGCTGGCAGCTGCTGTGAACGTGCTGAGCTGTCTTTGTGCCCAGGTGCGCAGCCATGGCTGCAGAGGGATGCACAGGGGTGGATGCTGCATAGAAGAGGCAGGAGTGCTCAGGTGGTCAGGAAGGAGGAAAAGTGCTATTTACAAAGAACATGCTCAAAAGGCACTCCCCTCCCCGCCCCCCACGAGCTCCGTGTCACTCCTTAGCAGGGACAGAGTCTGAGGACAAAGCCGATTCCACTCAGGCGCCACTCCCCAGCGGGCAGGGAAAGGGGGCCCCCTTCAGACACCCCCAAGTCTCTAGCTGGACGGCTGCTTGTTTGGAGGCTCTGCCCACCACAGCCTCCACGTGCGGAGGGGCGGTGGGCTGCGGTGCAGCCGGGTGCAAGCTGGCCTGCCACTTGGGACAGCAGCGCCTGGCTGGGAGGGTCCTGGCTTCTGTCCACGTTCTGGCCCGGGTAGAAATAGGGACATTGTTTTAACTGAAGAATGCACAGTTTTCTCAGGACAAATAGGGCTGGCTCTTGGTTTTTTGCATCTGGATCCCAGTTCTGTGGGGTGAGAAGGAAATGTGTTAGAGGAAGACACGGCAAGGCCATGCAGGGAGGTGGCGGGCAGGCCCCATGCTTCGGGTTCCGTCTCAGGGACAGCCGCCATCCTGCACCAGGGGCTCCTTCTCCCCACTGGCAGGTTGGCAGCTCTAGAGGGGTGTGGCTCCATCACGGAGCTCTTAGGGATGCCACCTGTGCGGCCCTCCGAATGGAGTTCAAGAGTCAATTGTTAAGCTCTAACTGCCAGACCAGCTCCTCTAACCTAAGCAGCTGGCGTTTGTCTTTCCCTTTACAAGCATCAAGATGCTGGGGGTCCCCTGTTCATGTAGGGCAGGGTGGGGCTGGGGGGAGGCGCAGAGTGGCTGCTGCTCACCCCAGGGCTATGGGGGGCCCCGGGGTGCGGGGTCAGGCTGGGGACCGGCTCACCTTTACAGCCTCTGGGCCCCGTGCAGATCGTAGTCGCTGTCAGAGGAATTGTCGGGTTGCGTGGAGGAGCGCTGCAGGGCCCCTTCCAGAGCTGGGGGAAGAAAGGATGCTGTTTGCAGAGGGTTTGAGACTCCACAGAGCCCCTTGCATCCTAGAGCCACTGCCCACAGTGGGCGGGAAGATCACAGGGGCTTTAGGAGCCGGCAACAGCCTCGTATCTGTTTTGATCAAATCAGCCAAATGTTCACTAATGATGCTGAACTCCAGGCTCCCTGGGGCTTAATTGATAGCACCAGTAAGGGAGCCTTCAGTACCCACTCTCCTGCAGCCCACTTAATAGCTCCCTTCTGGCCCGAAGGAATCCAAGGGGCCTTATGTACCATCCAGGCCCCTCAAGGCTCTGCAGCGAAACAAGCCCGTTAGGTCACAGCAAGGCTGGGGTTAATGGCTTTCTGAGTGCATTCTTCTCTCCAGATGAGTAGTTCGTGGTCTCAGATGGGTGCCTGTAAAGGCTGCATCCCTTCCGCACCCCTGCTACGTCCTGCCTCGTTTCATCCCTTGCACCCTGGGGCCTCCCTTCTCTCTTTGGGCCATCGCCCGACCTTCAAGGGCATCACGTGACCTGCCTTGGCAGCCTGCATGCCTGGGAGCCCCGCTGGTGCTTACCTGGATAAGCTGACACGCAGGAGTTCCTGGGAGGTTGGCTGTATTCATTATCCACGTGGGAGGCTGTGCGGTTCTCAACATGGGACCGGACGGTTGCCGTGTGGTTGCGATGGAAAGACACTGGGCAGATGCGGAGACAGTGTCGTTAGACTTGTGGCTCTGTCCTCCGCCTCATTACCCAGGAGGTGCCCAGAACTTTAATCTATTCCCTTGATGTTAGCAGAGAGAGGGCAACGGCACCCGCAGCCCCTCCAATGCATCCCCCTTGCCTCTCCTCCCGGGAGGTTCATGCTAGCAGGATCAGCAGCAGATTTTAGAGCAGATTTGGGTAACCCAGCAATCTGACTGGCAGGATGGGTCAGTCGGTCATCAAGCGTTTACCAAGCAGGAGATGGGAGCACAGGTGACAGGACAGCTATGCTCCTGCCCTCCAGGAGCTGAGGGCCTGTATGTTATTAAGAAAGGCTGGACGGTCCTGTAATCCCACTACTTTGGGAGGCCAAGGTGGGCAAATCACAAGGTCAGGAGTTCAAGACCAGCCTGGCAATATGGTGAAACCCCATCTCTACTAACAATACAAAAATTAGCCAGGCGTGGTGGCAGGTGGCTGTAATCGCAGCTACTTGGGAAGCTGAGGCAGGAGAATTACTTGAACCCAGGAGGCGGAGGTCACAGTGAGCCAAGATTGAGCCATTGCACTCCAGCCTGGGCAACAGAGCAAAACTGTCTCAGGGGAAAGGGGAAAAAAAAAAAAGAAAGACTGGGCAACACAGAGCCTTCTTGAAGGATTTGGCCTTGGACTTGGGGAGGGGGAAGAAGGTGGAATGGGAGGCGGGAGGAGCGCCACGTCTCTGTCCATTAGGGTGTCTCTGGCTGTGGCTGGAAGGACAGAGTAAGAAGACCAGGGATGCCGGGCTCGGTGGCTCAGGCCTGTAATCCCAGCACTTTGGGAGGCCGAGGCGGGTGGATCACGAGGTCAAGAGATCGAGACCCTCCTGGTCAACACGGTGAAACCCCGTCTCTACTAAAAATACAAAAATTAGCTGGGCATGGTGGCGCACGCCTGTAATCCCAGCTACTCAGGAGGCTGAGGCAGGAGAATTGCCTGAACCCAGGAGGCGGAGGTTGCAGTGAGCTGAGATTGGGCCATTGCACTCCAGCCTGGGTAACAAGAGCGAAACTCCGTCTCAAAAAAAAAAAAAGAAGACCAGGGATGGGGTTGGGCTGGCTGCACCCAAATGTCCTGATACTGGCCCTGTCAGTTATTCATGCTAAAAGTAGCTTGGACAGCCCTTCTTAATGTAGCCTTGCTTTGGAGATGGGCAATACAAAAATACCCATTAAGGTTCTGATAAGTCCTGGAATAAAGAGCCGTGCTTAGCTGTGCCTAACTCATGGTTCTCCAGGTCTGTTGATCAGGGAGGCCTCTTTTGTGAGCACTGCTTGTGAGCATCCATTGGCCACTGTGTTGGGAATGCTGCTGGAGGAGGCGAAGGCTGCTGGGGACCCCGAGATGAGGCGAGAGACAGAAAAGATGCCATGAGATGTTTCCACACTCTGAGGCTTCAGCTGCAGAAACCGCTCAGCCATCTGCCCATCAAGAAGCCTCCGCTGTCCCTGGTGTGGGGACGTCTGTTGGCCACAGTCACACCTCAGACAAGCACTGTGGAGATCAGAGGCCTCAAGCAGCCACAGGCTCCGTCTGTGTTCAGCAGAGAGGGCCTCAACTCTGCCTGCATGGCCTCTGTCCCTGGGCTGGGGGGGCCCTGCCTCTGGGACACTTACTGTTCTGGTTCATTGCTGTTGGGCCAATCCACTGGCGTTGCTTCTTCTGTCGGACTGGGCAAGAGAAAGGAAAGGCACATCAGGGTGGTGGGAGCAGGTGGGGGTGGGGGCAGGTCGGAGTGGGGGTGGGGCAGGGCCTGGGAGGGAGGTGGTGGCAGCAGGTGCAGCTGAGGGCAGGGCTGCTGGGCTCTGCCTCCTGGAGTCTCTCGGGGGCCTTGGTTTCCTAACTTGCTCTGGAGCCATCCTGTGCCAAAGGAGCAGGCTAAGGATGGGGTAGAGGTGCCTGGCTCCCCAGGAGAAAAGACCACAGGTGTTTAGAACCAGACCTGGGCAGGCACTAGGACCCAACACTGCCCTGCTGGACCTCCTGTTCACAGTCTCTCCCCTCTCACCTTCTTGTCTGAATACTTTCCTCTTGAGATCTGCAAGGCAAGGAGAACAACTCCCCCTGCATTTACAAGGTGTGTGATCGCTCATTTGATAGATGAGGAAACTGAGGCTCAGAGAGAGGAAGTTTCCCAATCAGCATCCCAGGCAGTGGTAAGTAGAGGAGGTGGGCCTGGGACGTGTGTCTCCTGCCACCAGAGGCTGTGCTGAACACCCTCTGGGCCTGCCACTGCCTCGGGAACAGCCACACCCTCTCTCTGACCTGGAATGGGTCTCAGCTGGTCTCCAGAGATAGACAAATCAACAATTGCAATTTTGTTTACTTTCTGTTTCTGTTACTTGGGGCAGAAAAGGGCTAATGGGCAGGAGAGGGGAAGGTTGGGTGGTGAAGCAGAGGTGCCCTGTGCCCAGCTCTCTGGAGGCAGGACCCCTCCTCCCAGGGACTCTAGTACAGCCCCTCCAGTCTCTGCATGCAGGGACAGAGCCACTCAGGGCCGCGATACCTACATTTCTTCACCAGCTTCTTATAGGCAAGAGGGCCACACATGACCAATAGCACTGCCAGGAGCACCAGGGCCAGGATGATGCTTGTCACAGTGCCCGCAGCCAGGCCTGCAGGGTTTGGATCCTGGCCTGGAGAAGGAGGAAGAGTTAGGTCATTGTCAGCCCTGGGGGGAGAAAAACTGTGGGAGGGAAGCTGCTGTCTGCCTGGCTTCTGCCAGTCACCCTTGCTCATCCCAGAAAATCACCAGCATGCACAGAAGGCAGTGATCAATTTAGCTGTTCCTCCATCCATCTCTAGAATTCCCTGCTACCCACTCCCCCACCCACCATTTATCATCTAACAATCGATCGATCATCTAGCTAGCATTTGCCACACTGGTTATAAGCCATTTAATTTTCTACAATTTGCCAGTGGTTAGTGATCACCTTGCCATTATACACCATCATAAACCAATATATGATTGTATACCAATAGCCAGCCAGGCCTCTATTCTTCATCCATCCATCTGTCCATCCACCTTTCATCCATCCAACCATCTATCCATCCATCCATCCACTTACCCATCCATCCATCCATCCATCCATCCATCCATCCATCCACCCACTTATCCATCCATCCATCCATCCATCCATCCACTTACCCATCCATCCATCCGTCCATCCATCCATCCATCCATCTACTTACCCAACCATCCATCCATCCATCAATCCATCCACTTACCCATCTATCCATCCATCTATCCACCCACTCACCCACCTACCCATTCATCCAATCTAATACATCCATCTACTCACCCATCTACCCATCCATCCATCCATCCATCCATCCATCCATCCATACATCCATTTCTCTCTTTTACTTGCCATTTAGTTACCATTCATGTAACAAATATGTGCTATCCATTTGATTTTCTGGCTTCCACCTTGCAAAAGTAGAAGGTAGAGGGAGAAACTCTACGACTCATCAGCTGCCTGACAGTGATCTGCCTGTTGCTTGCTCTGTCTCCTATTATTGTTCTTGCTCGTTGCTGTCTGAGTGCTCGTGCTCCCTGGCCTTCCAATTTCCCTCTCTCCATCCTTTTCTGGGTCTCTGGGACTCTCTGTTTAGCTCCCCAGAGCTGTCCTTTGGAGACATACACCCTGACCGGGTCCTGGAGGTAAAGTTTAACTGTGTGCTGCTTCCTGGGACCCCATGCCCCTGGCAGAGTTTAACTGCTTCCACCCACTGCGGGCTGTGGCTAACTCACATGTGATGAACACCTTCTTGCAGCGGGAATTTTTCTCCTGAAGCTCGTGGCACTGGGACAGCTTCTGCTGGAGACAGGAGAGCCCCTGGGATGTTGGCTCACCAGCTTCCAGCACACGATAGGAGTTGACGCCGCCACACCGCTGCTCCTGGCACACCTCCTCCCACCGCAGCTGGCTCCTGGCTGAAGAGCTGTCGCACAGGGCTGCCCACTGTGCCCCCTGGCGCACCTCCACGGTGCCTTCACACATGCTGCTGCCCCCCACCAGGCGGCTCTGCACCTTGGGCTGGAAACCTGAGAGGGGAAGCAATGGGAGAGGAGGAGCAGGTGTGGCCCTGAGCCTGTGTGCTGCTTCCTGGGGCCCCATGCCACTGGCAAAGCCGGGCCCTGGCTAGGGGAAGGCACTGGGTGGGACCACCAGGAGAGGCAGCCTTCCTTTCTGCCCTTCCCTCCTCTGGCATCCTCCGTGGCTCTTCCCCTGACCCAGCACCATCTCTGGTGCCTCTGGTCAGCTGCCAGCACCATCCTGAGACACAGCAGCCTAGGCACTCTCTGCAGGGAGGCTGTTCCAGCCACCATCAGGGAGTTGGCCCCATGCCAGGTGGAGGTAAGAGACAAGCATGGGAAATAGGTTCCACCTAGGTCCACTTCCCACTTGGAAACATCCTCTCATTCTCCTGCTGCACTTTGGGAAGACGGGAGGCTTTTCAGAAGAGGCCCAGGAATTGGAAAGACCTCTTGCACTGAGTCCTGGCAGTTCACAGTGAGGACAGATCTTGCTGCCAGGCACTGCACGCCGAGGGCCAGGCTTTCAGCAAAGGGGCCTGGCTCAGCAGAGGCTCGCATTCATTTCTGCCTGCCAAGGTGGGGCCTGGGAGTCCATGGCTGAGGCCCACGCATGCTCAGTTCACAGTGAGTGATGATCTCACCAGCTTTGGCCAGTTTCCATAGCAACATCCACCTTCAAAGCCCTAGTAAATCTATTCAGAAGAAGTTTCAAAGGCAAGAACCCTGGGTATGGTTTGGCAGGTTGTAGCCTGCAGGAAGGATCGCAGCTGAGCGGGGGTGGGACTGCCAGCCAGCCCCTGCTTCCCTCATCAGGCCAAGAGACCCCTGGGGGCTGCTTCTGGTGGGAGGGGGCAGCGTTTTACTAATTCACACCAGGTACCCAGCGATGTGGGGCGACTATGCCTGCAGGACAGCCAGGTGGCCGCGAGCAGTGCTTCCTAGATTTGTGCACATAAATCACCAAGGACCTTGCTGCAAAGTGGATTCTGATTCGGAAGGTCCGGGCTGGGACCTGAGCACCTGCATTTCTAACCAGCTGCCGTGGGTCCAGGACCACACTGAGTCACTGAAGCTCAGAAAACAGGCTCTAGAGTGACCCTGCTTGTTCAGAAATCGCAGCAAGCACTCTATAATACTGGGCAAGAAGCTTAACCTCTCTGAACCTCAGCCTCTCACTGTGAAAGGGATGGTAATAATAACACCCACTTCCTAAGGTCATGTGAAGAATTTAGAATGCCCAGGAATGGTCCCTGCATGAAGTAAGCGCTTGGTAAGTACGGTCTGGACTTCACTAAGAACACCTCCAGCGATAGGAAGCCACTGCCTCTGGAGGGAGGCGTGCTGCGAGGATTCTTCCCTTTAGTTTTCTTCATTGATCCTGGTTTGGCCCATTGGGGTCTCACAGACTCAGTCTCACCCGCTTCTTCCCCTCAACCACACAGCAGGATCATTCTTTTTTTTTTTTTTTGAGATGGAGTCTTGCTCTGTTGCCCAGGCTGGAGTACAATGGCACGATCTTGGCTCACTGCAACCTCTGCCTCCTGCGTTCAAGTGATTCTCCTGCCTCAG